ACACACACTCTCTCTCTCTCTCACACACACACACATGAGTATGCTTATAATAACAGAATCTTCAGTCAATGTTCTCTTTTCCCTCTCTCTTCTTGCTCTCTTTCTTTATAGAAACGTGACAAGACTCGTGTAGTTACTTACAGGTGCCCCAGTAACTGTGCAGTTCAAGTGAGTCTACTTATGATACTGATACATCTGCCTATGCAACACAACACTGACTTTAGGTGTACAATTATATAGAGAAGACAGCCCGGGTTGTGTTTGGTCCTGATCTTGTAGTACTGGATCCACATGAGAACTTTAATGTCCTCAGTTTGAGTGGTGAGGGAGAGAGGGGGAGGAAAGGGGACAGCTAGGGGAGGGTGTTGTCTCTTTATTGTTATTTTCAGCTGGTAAACCAAAGAAGGAGAATGCCTTGAAGACTATTTGTCTCATGCTTGGTCCTGATTTCATATCTGATCATATTACAGTAAGTGCTCCCTCTTAGCATTTACATATTCCTCCTTTTAATGATAAACCACTAATAAACACACAACAAACAAGAGCTATAAAAAACATTCTCTCGCAACAACTAATTGACCTTTTGGATTGCATTTTTTATCAGTCAAAAGGGAGTTCTTGTCACATGTGCTTGTGTGCTCTACTGCTGGAACAATACTTCCATGATCTGATGATGCTCAGCTCAGTTCAGTTTAATCGTGGCATGCTGAATTGTGAAGTGTCAATTTAAATTATCATTTAAAATCATAGCTAATCTACACATCAAATTATCATTATTATAGAAGTGGTATTAAGCACTGTAGTCTGTATTTTCTTACAAAAATCACACAATAGTAACACAAATAAAGATTTCTTACAAAATAAAACATTCAGTTATGCATGCAGTTTGAGCTGTGGTCCAAGTCAAGTTTTCTGAGCAGTTGTTGATGGCCTGTGGTGCAGGGTCTTGTGTTCAATTCTTCCAGTGACTAGTTGACTCTTCTCCGGTTGTTCTTTTGCTGTAGCAGCTACTCCAGTGACTAGCGAGCTCCTATGCAGGTCTCCCGCTGTCTCGCTGATTGCAGGTTCACAGTACAAAGAAGAGCCGTCGGGACCAGAGCCGTCTTCGTATTCTGTAGTCCGAGAGAGGGAGCACGCAGCTGTAGTGCAGTCATAATTAGAGACGAAGCAGGGTAACGGCCTATCCATGTTGTCTTGTTTCTGTCATATGAGCTACAGCCACTCAGCCAGAGAGATATCTATTAGATCTATACGAGCTCAGTTGCGACCAAGATGCTATTCACTCAATTCGCTGTTTCTAACTTAGTTATATTTATAACTCTTCTCTGATGTTGTAGTAGATTTGAAGTAACTGCTTATAAATCCTTGCAATGCAGTTTTATCTTGAGCGCATGCGCTCCTGGTTTTATACTTTGAAATTTGATCTATGCTAATGACGTCCAAAAAAGCTCCTCCTTCTTTTATTTTTTACAAATTTAATGGGCAGACTCAGTTCTTATTCGGTAAATTAGAGTCTGGCTAGCGAGACTAAATTGATAAAATAGCAGTGTATTGTTCCTTAGTTGGTCTTCTTCTTTTATCTATAGGTAGAGACATCAGATCATGCTCGTCTTAAGATTGCTGTATCAATGAACAATGAATTCAGAGTAAGGACACACATGGACTATGTCATTCCCTTCGTTCTCTTCTTTCCCTCTCTTCTCTCCTTCCCCTCTCTTCTCTTAAGGTTGAGAGAGGTAACCCAGAGAGTGAGGCTATGCTGTTCAGTGTTCCAGACTTCATTGGATTTGCTTGCAGAGAAGTTGGTGAGTTAAGCTGGATTCTCAATATGATCCTTGCGCTAGCGTCACGACTAGAAGTACTTGTATAAACAAATGGGAGCAATTAAGCATCAATGCGTCAGATTAAAAAAAATTCTATTCTGACGCATACTCCCATTTGTTTATAACAGCACTCCTGTCATGACGACGCTAATGCATGAAAAGCAATGCGCCATATTGAAAACCCACCTCAAGAGTGAATCGACCCCTCGTAATATGTTTTGCATTGTATTGTGTGTTTTATTTGTACAATAGTATTGACAAATATAAATACTATTATAGATACTATTATACCATGCATGTGCATATAGTAGTACAACACAAGTTTACCAGCAACCCAGTGAATAGGCTAATCAACCCAAGCTCCTTCCTACATTTGTACATCATCAAACACAATTTAACACATCTCAATCTGTATCTTCCTTATTATTTCACAGCTAGTAAAGTAAGAGGGAAAGTAGCCTCCATACCATTTGAACAGTTCCACAAGCATTCAGCTGATATTATAACTGCTGCTGTGTTTGGTAAGAATGCTGATGGAGAAGTTAATGAAGAAGTGATATTTACTGCTAATAACCTGGTGAGTTGGTGTATTAACATTGTATACTATACCATGACTCAATGGTAGTCATTGTATGCCAATTGGGCATTACATTATTTATTTCTGTACATTTATAATAATATTCATTGCCCTAAGAAGCAGACATGGCATTGTTGTTTGTGGTTTAGCGAGAGTATAAATTAGATTGCTGTACATGTAATAACAAAAGCTTAACGCCCACAGAATTTACCAAACACCAATAGAACAGCACAACTTATAATATCTTAAACCCAAAATGCTCCTACTTATATAGTATTATTCGTCATTATCATTATCATTATATAATTGTATTGTGTAGGTGATCACTAATATTGATATTCAAAGTATTGAACCAATTGATCATCATATGAGGGACTCTCTATCTAAATCTGTGCAAATGGCAATTGAAATATCTACAAAGTGAGTCCACTCTTCATCTACAATTCATACAGTACATGTATAGTGTTATCCACTCTGCCAGCCCTGTTATGGTTTTGGACCTGTCCTCTTAATACAGTCCTTTGTTATAACAGAACTCCTGGGAATGATACAAATTAAATATCTGAAATATTGTTCTATCAGTTAGACTTGTTGTTACAATAATGTCCTGTGCATGGCCAGCTTTTGAAGTGACTAATTGTCTCCTGGTTATGATAGTAACCACTATCATAACCAGGAGACCCTGACCACCTGGCAAAGACTATCTCCTGGTGGTGTGAGTTCAGCTACTATCGTAACTGAAATCCAATGCACTGTTTATACTTACCCTTATTATTCTAAGCATGCAACTGCCAGAAAAAGTCATAATACTACACTTTAGTGAATCATTTTATTTGCTATTTTGAGTCTTTTTCTGGCAGTTGCATTCTTAGAATAATGAAAGCTAATGATCCCAATCTTTAAATTAGTGCTATTACATTACAAAGCATAAGAATAAAGGATTATTCCCCCTATAAAGGAATGGAGTTATCTGCATCAATGCCTCTTATGACGTCACGTTTAGCCACACCCACGGACAGGAAGTAAATTGGCAGGAAGCAAAAAGTGCATCTTTGAAGGCTCATATCTCAGTGAATAATTTTTTTTAGACAATGGGAGTTGGAACACATTGTTATGGTCAGGCAATCATATTAAGACCATAAAATAAATACCCTAAAAAATCACTGCACTTACACTTTAAGACCATGCACAGCACATTATTGTAACAATTGAGCCTGACTGATAGAACTACATGTACATGTATTTCAGATATTTCATTTGTATCAGTTGGCTATTCCTTCCTAGTTTACTTCTTTCATAATTGTGATACATTTGCTTGTTATAATGTTACCAATGCTCAGGTCAATAGAGAGGTCAGCACAGCATGAGGCACAGAGAACTGAACAAAAAGCAAAAGGAGAACTAGAGAGACAAAAACTACAAAATGAAAAGGTAATTAATAATGTAGCATGGGGAAGTTTAGCAGGATCATAATCGAAATAATAATAATGGTTATCTTCACAAAGTCTCAATATCTTATTGCAAAAACCACATCGATCCCATCAGTGAACACATGTGCATACACAATAATAATAATGATGCATCATTTTAATAACAATCAGGGGCGTAGCTGGACCTTGGGTGACGGCAGGGGAAAGAGACAAAATGGCACGTGAAGCGCACTGCAATTTTGGCCACACCCCTTTTACGTAACAAAATGGAGACATTTTCCTGCAAGCTGAGCGAAATCAAAGTGAAATTATCATTGTATATAGCTTTAAAAAGAGCTGTGGTTATCAGCCACCCCCTTTTGTTATTGTAAGAACAATGAATATAATCTTTTTGGGTTATAATTTCAATGAATATAACTATAAGGCCACTTTGATGGTAGGGCCCAGGCCCCCTCAGGCCCTACCTCAGCTACGCCACTGATAACAATACACAATAATAATACCATAATAATACATTACCATAATGAACATAGCAAAGAATAATGAAAGATATTATACATGTCACCACTTTAGGTTATTCCCATTAAAGTACACATGCACATTCTACATCATTTTCTTGCATTCCCTTTGATGTTTTCTGTTGGTGTTTATAAACATTAGCAGACACCACAGTATAATCTTCATTATTGTATTATGTACTCTTGTTATGGTGTTATTATTGATAGGAGGCAGAGGAGGCAAGGAAGGAGTTGTTAGAGTTACAAGCAGTAGCAGCTGCTGTTGAGAGCACTGGACAAGCTAAAGCAGAAGCACAAGTAATCACAGTGTACATGTATAAATGACATGCAATGATGAGATTGTATGAATATCAAGTTATCAACCACTGTTTGGTGTTTGGTAGTATAATTTCTCTATTATTTTATTTGTGTATTGTAGGCTCAAGCTGAGAGGCTTCTCATTGAAGGACAAAGTGCTATTGAATGTAAGTGAGAGTCAGTATTAACCTGTAGTTTCCATGTAGCTGTACAACAAACAACCTAATTAGTATTAATTGCCAACAATAGAGATCACAATACAGTTATAGCCTATAGGGTAATGACCAGTGATTGGTTATCAGTTATATGATATTTTGTAGTCAGCGCCCACTTGACACAACTATACTTCAAAATCAAACAATGGGTATTGGCAAGAGTACACCACAGACTTTTTGTGGCTAATAGCTTTGATAATGGTACACAGACTTCACACATAGACATTTGATACTTGTGTATAGTACTTCGCGGAATAGTTATTACAAGAGTCATCACTATACTTCAAAACTTCTGATGCCTATTTTACTTCTAATAGCTTTCATTATGATTAGGGAAATATACAGCTATACTAGTCCACATGCCACTTTCCAACTGTGTTGCCCTGGCACCGTAGACCCATTATGTACATGCATGAATTCACATATTTGAATGACGATAATGTCATGTTTCCTTCTTTGTCCTCTTTAGTGGCTAAATTAAAAGCAGAAGCAACAAGAATTGAAATGGAGGCTGAACTTACTTGTCAAACTAAAGTTAGTCACTCACTTGTCATTCCTCTGTTATCCCCCTCTCCACACATACACACACACACACACACACACACAAACCTTTCATGTGTGTTTCCTTCTCTTATGTGTATTTCTATTCTCTGATCAGATGCAAGAGGCTGAGGTTCAGTTCTTGAGGGAACAGAATGAACTACAAATAAAGAGAGCTAAAGACCTCAGCAACATTGAAGTATATAATTATCATTTGTGCTGCTATTGTGCTTTCAATTTTAAATCATTTATTAGTTATCACATGTAGTAATGTATTATTATATGTCAATCTATTGTAATAGGTGTCTAAGTTCAGTACATTGGTTAGTTCTATGGGTAAACAGACTATATCCCGTATTGCTAAAGCTGGACCAGAATCAAAGGTACAGTATACAGTAATACAATGTTTGTTCACATTGGTTTTGTATGGTTTACATTAGTTTCTATTGATTACTAATGATTCTTATCTCCTCCTCTTCCACTCCTCTAGGCTCGTTTGTTACAGAGTCTTGGTATACAGTCTGTTCTCATTACTGATGGTAAAACTCCAATTAATATGATTGGGAACCAGACAGGTGGCTATGCTACGACATATGCTCCTTAGAAAACTCTTTGGGGAGGAATATTAATATTATTATTATTATTATTTGTGTTAGTCATTAGTATTTTTAGCTGGATTTATATAGTTTTCAGAGATATTATATATTATTTTCTATTGTACATGCAAAATTATGATAATATACGTGGGCGGGACTTTTAAAAAATTTGAAATGTCATAGATAATAGAGTAATGAACAATGTTATGGAAATGTTCCGTAAACTCCTTCATATAACATTGCTACCGGTATGTGCATGGCAGTTTACGGAGCACGCAAATGTGATCCAATCATCCAAGCATAGATACGTATATATAATCTATGATCCAAGTGGAATGAAAAGCGCAGTAGTAAGAGAAGTATTGATATCTTTAAATTTGAATGACCACACAGAATTTAAATAAGATAATTATACTTGACAAAAATGAAGTTTCAACAGTTTAAAAATAGGGAAATATAAAAACAATAACAGATGTAAGGAGTTCAATTCTCAGTTCCCGACAACGAAATTTTGGGAGACAGCATTTCTTGGGACAACTAGACCGCCAAGATGATTAGAAGGCACATCGCCACCGGGAAGTCTTCCTATCACAAGAGCGCTTCTTAAATAGCTGTTTTCTGTGCACGGCAAATCGAGGCTTATTTGCCAGATTTCTTTGTTCTTTATAGTATTATTGTCCATTTCTAGTAGTCAGAAAAGTGGTAAGAGTTAATAAAGGTGGGGGCCGCTGCACTCTTTTTTGTCTGGTGCAATGGTTTCCGCCTTTATATAGACTAGAAAAAATCATCTTGCGTTTTCAGGCCAGTTATACCACCGTGATAAGCTGCCTTCTCCGCTTGCTTTTCAACCTCGATCTCCTCTATGATCTCCTCCTGAGTCCTGACTTTTCTGGTTGTTTTATATTTGCAAATTGCGCATGCCCAGAGCAGTTATTAAAGAGTTTCAACTATCTACCACACCCATTATAAGGTGTGACTGACTAAAGTAAAAATCAGCTGAAAATCAAAATGTCTGACGGTGATTCATGGAAGTTGTATATACTGAGAAAACTAAGAGAAAGGAACAGCAAAGAGACTAGCTGCTTCAAAGAGCTCATACTATCACGTAAGACACAAGTAATACCAACAGCAAATACACTCGTTCTATCCCTCTATCACCAGACGGGCGGCTGTTTGATCAAGTGGAGAACCTAAAGAAGGACATCACTAGACTGGAGTACCAGAACAATGAACTGGAGAGGGTGAGCCTACACTAATGACTCACTCATTAGTGATTATTGATAGGATCTAAGAGAAGGAGGGGGCAGTACAGGAGGAGGAGCTAATAAATTGAACAAACGAGTTGAGGATCTTCAGGAGAGACTCTTAACGAGAACTGATGAGGTCTCTGAGGCTTGTCGGGCAACAGCTGATGTGAGTGGAGGGTATACTATATGTATATGTATATGGGGCATCCTAATGTACAGTGCTAATTTTATGAGGGTTGTAATGTACATGTACATGTACATATATTGTGAGTGAGGTAGTATTACCATACAAGATGATTTATTGGTGAGGAATAAATATTGGTGATTGGTGTTTCTATGAAGAAATCACCAATTTCTTTCCATAGGAAAATTTGCTAAATATTACTCTCACCAATAAATCATCTTGTACAGTATAACTTATTTAAAGGTTGTACATGTACATATATATATGTAACATGTATTGTATTGTACAGGCAATGGTTAAAGTTACTGAACTGTCAAGTCAGGTACGATCTAAAGATGATGAAATATCAAAGAAAGAGACACAGTGAGTTAAAGAAAATTCAGTGAAAGCTATTATTAATTATTGTTAAATGGCATGCATTTACTTTTAAAATATTTATTATTACTGCTACTTTAGGCAGGAACATTATTATCTAAGCCTTTAATTACATTACTATTCATTGACCTCTGTTGTTAGGGAATTCCCCCTGATTACCCTTGTGTATAAACACAACACGTGCTGCCATTGTTTGTAATTAGCTGCATAACATCATTAGCTAATGCTTGCTGCTTAAATATAAATGTTAATGTTCTTGTCATTTTCTTTAGGATCCTTTCCCATTGTTTTCTGGAGAGAGATTACCTGAGAGTGGCAGTGCAACTGGTAGGTTGCTATTATGATTCTCCTTCTCTCTCCCTTTCCCTCTACTTTATCTCCCATTGTTAATTTCCTAATTCATTTATTCCATTGCAATGTATCATTCAATATTAATGTGATTATTAACTGCATGGAGACTAATGGCTATAGCCTACAGCAGGTCCATAGTTCACACTTCATGTATGTTTATCAACAGTGTTTGTAAACAATCTACTTGATATCATGAAAATAATATCTTGTCTGCAATCACTAGAATTTATACCAACATTTTATTATAGCATGCAACACAAAAGAGTATTTCACTCTGTTCTCTCCTTTCTCTCTCTCTCTCTCCATTAGATTATTCTCGTGCTATTAAGCGTCTCCCAACCATAAAAGCAGATCATGGGATACACTTGAGTGCTCTGGTTGATATGGAGGAGACTGATACTGCTCCAGCTCGTAAGGCAGGGGATGAGTGGCAGCTGAGAGGGCCATTGACCTACTTAAGCCGGATTTACAATATGACGCTAGGCCAATGTAACGTCAATTTTTAATCAAAAGCGTAGGCGATTTGACCTTTTCACGCATGCTTCACGCTGAAGTTGAACCAGATTCAACTTCTGCGTCAACATAACGTCAGGACTAGCGTCATATTGTAAATCCGGCTTTACCCAAACCAGAAGAGGTCAGCATCAATAGTAATACAGCTACTATCTGATAGCTACATGTATTGTGTATATGCACCTTGGCACAGTATTCTTCAGTGTCCCCATATTCAGTGGCCCATATATTCATTCTTAGTTACACATGTTTCTAGTTGCATGTGTTCCTATAGTTACACTTTACCCTTGCATGAAAATAGTATGGATATACATTAATCATTGAGACTGGCAAGAGCTACCTTATTCATGACTTTTTTCATTTTCCCATGAGTATATAGTTGAGTACATTTCATTTTTGTATCATTACATGCAAGCTCAGCTATGGATGATTTGAGAGCAATTGAGTCTTGAGAAAATAAGGAATGATATGGAACATAGAAAGAGTACATATGATGTGGAATGTACATAAACTACATATCTACATATGGAAGCATCCAGGATTGCATGCTTCCAGGGAGAGACAAAAAGAATTTGTGCCATAACATGACTCCATCATTAGCATCATTATCTCCTCCTATTAATTAAGTATTCAATAATTGGAGGAATGTGTTGCCAGAAGCTGTTAAACAGCAGCTGTTCATTGCATATTCAATCCTGTTATCTCCTTTTCTCTATCCTCAGCAAGTAGTAAAGATGGTGTCTCCTATTATAATAACTCCGGGTCATGCTGTTTGTCTTAGAGCTCGTCAAGCCTTGACTGACGCTAAGGGAATGTAAGAATAACCACACCCACTGGTTAATTAATAATTATTAATAGTTATCGTTGTACTGGTGAGGAGTGGTTGGTGAGGGATATTGGAGCTTATCTACCTGATGTGTATGAGGAGGTGAGGATTATAGTATAAAGATATAAATCTAGTATGTTGATTGTTATTGTATACAATGTGTATTTCCATGTGTATCAAATTAGATATATATACACATGTACATGTATCTGTGGGACACTTTTCACAAGCTTTAACACATTACTATTATACCTTGGGTTGTTGTTATAACAGTGAATACACCTGTGCTTGATCATAGATTCTCTCCCTCTCCCTGGCTGCATGTCCTTACAGCCACTATAAACACACATTGCAATAACAGCAATCAAACCTCAGACTGAGGTTAAAAGTACACAAAACAATCCTTGCCAGGCTAACATGCATGTACACAATGTATTAATCAAATACTCCTTCTCCCTCTATAACTTCTATATATCCTACAGGAGGTAGTGAATGAGGTCCAGTTGACTGTTTTATCCCACCATCAGTATTGTGTGGTTGTTAATCCTCTTGGTGATGATGGTAGACCACGTCTTGGCTGTAGGGAACTGAGAAAAGGACCCAAGACATTCTTCCTTCATCCTGGTAACTGATTTAATATAGTAATTAAATATTGATTTTATTGTGATAATTGTCACTGTACATGAAGGTAGAAAGGGATTTGATATGTTATACATGTACTGTATGTATGTATGCCCTTTATTTGGGAATGTGCATGTGTGTATTCTGTTTGTTTTGTATGTGACTGTGTGTGTTCTTGTCCACATGTCATGTCATTTATGCATGTTATTCTTTTCTTTCTCTTTTTCCTTTGTTGTAGGTTAGAAGTTTGAGAGAGGGATACAAGATGCTATTTTATTAGAATCTGATGAAGCTCTTCTTGTCACTGCTCAAGAGGAGTTTGATGACATTACTGAAGATGGTTAGTAATGGCCTATGGCCCTATTTACATACATACTGTGTTTGGCCTGGCAGTGGACTGCTGTGTGCGGAATAAGAGGAGAATTCACGACTGTTAGTTTGGCATGCATCATTGGCAATCACATATAGAGAATCTGTTATGATTAACAAAGGATTGACACTCATTCCATTCGTAATATTAATATGTACATTATATGTAGGTAGTAAAGTCCATCGTACCCCTGGTGACCGGTGGATGATTCATGGACCAACTGACTATATACCTAGAACTGAGATTGGGAATATACAGAGGAGGTTAGTATTTGTCAGTAATTTTCATGAAAGTATGAACATCATTACATCAATAATAATGTCAAAATTTAATATCATGCAGTGGTGTGAGTGCTTGTATGGATTGATTGGCTTGTCAACTTCTGAGATTACATACAACTGTTTAGACCACAGCTTAGAGTGGGGTCACATTAAAGAACAAATGACCATTGGAAGGGCTATCAAGTATTTGGGGAGAGTAGGCCACCTCCTACCTATATAATAGTTGTGTTAGGAATGGTCCAAGCCTGAAGTCCACTGTGACAGGCTGATAGTGTGATGAGGGATACTTTTAAGTTATAGTTCCTATCTCTCTACTGTAGGAAGGCTACTCCATTGAATGAGAATGAAGGGATTTATGTTAGAAATGTTCAGTCAGGACAGGTAAACCAATACAGTACAGTACAGTGCTATATTAACACTAACACTGGTGGTGTGTCCAATACAGTACAGTACAGTACAGTGCTATATTAATACTAACACTGGTGGTGTGTCCAATACAGTACAGTACAGTACAGTGCTATATTAACACTAACACTGGTGGTGTGTCCAATACAGTACAGTACAGTACAGTCCAATAGGTTCGTGCTATATTGGGCCCTCAGTCTTATTTACTACAAGCTGCTGAGGAACTGTATGAGAAAGAACTGACTCCACTAGCAGAAGAAATATTAAAGTAATGGTTGACTTGAATTTGAGATGGCTATCTCCCATGAGCTTCTCTCTGCTCCTCTCTGATAAGAGTTGCTGTAAGTTCTGTAACACAACTGCAAAACTGTGAATACACTGAATCATAGGGGTAGGAACAGGGGGGGCAGGAGGGGCTTAAGCCCCCCCCCCCAACTTTAATTGAAGGGGGGCTTAGCCCCTCCAACTTTAAGTGATATACATGTATTACTATTATCAACACTATAGACTTTAGTATAGGTAATCCTTATATGTGTGCATATTGTGTAATGATTCATTTCCTAAAACAATTAATACAGTCTAGCTTCTAAGAACACACTAGTTTTTTTCAGAAATACACAAGCTTCAACATTAGCTTTAGCTGAGCGTAGATTATCGATGTTAAGGAGATTAAAAAACTACTTGCGCTCCACAATGTCACAAGAGCATCTTAATTATGTAGTTATTTAGCATACTCATGAAGAATTTACAGACGATTTATACATCAAGGACATTGCAAAGGAATTTGTTACATTTAATAAGCATAGACGCCAATATTTTGGACAATATTAATTTTAGTACTATGATCAATTGTTAAATCATGCTCCTATGATTGCCAATAAATAATACCTTAGCCCCCCCAACTTTTAGTTTGTTCCTACCCCTATGCACTGAATAATTTCTGTAGTCCCTCCTTCTAGGCCTGTATCCTCTTTATAGCCTTGTGTTCTGGCAGTATTGTTATCATTACTGCAGCCAGGGCTCCTCCTTTATCCAAGCTTGGGGCTATATAGTTAGTATAGGATTAGGGACAGGATGGATATTTTCTGGTGTAACAGTCACCCCAGATATTATTGTATTATATTGATTCTTTTTGTGTTGGTATTGTAAAGCCAACAAAGTATCTCTATTCTTCTCATTGTGTAGGGAGGGTGGTGGTGTTGGTGATGCCAGTATTAGGAAGATAGCATATTTTGATGGAGCTAAAGATCCTTCACTCTTTAAGGGAAATGTAAGAATTATATAATCAGTACATACCTTTGGCTGTAGTTTGCACTCATTCTTTCTCTTCAATATGTTTGCATACAACCACATGAGTACATGCATGTTTATAAAAACAATTTACAGACAAATCTTCTCTTTTCCCTCTCTCTTCTTGTCCTCCTCTTTTTTCATAGAAGCGTGACAAGACTCGTGTAGTTACTTACAGGTGCCCCAGTAACTGTGCAGTCCAAGTGAGTTTTTTTTATATAATGATACATCTGCCTATGCAACACAACACTGACTTTAGGTGTACAATTATATAGAGAAGACAGCTCGTGTTGTATTTGGTCCTGATCTTGTAGTGCTGGATCCTCATGAGAACTTTAATGTCCTCAGCTTGAGTGGTGAGGGGGAGGGGGGAGGAGAGGAGATGAGAGATTCAATTAATCAATTTATTGTTATTTTCAGCTGGTAAACCAAAGAAGGAGAATGCCCTGAAGACTATTTGCCTCATGCTTGGTCCTGACTTTATATCTGACCATATTACAGTAAGTGCTCCCTCTTAGCATTACAATGCTGGCGTCTTGTTAATTTCTCAGTGTAATAAGTGACATCCTTTTCATTCATGTTGCATTTTTCATCATTCTAAGGGTATCATGTATTTGTGCACAAGCATGTGTTGCTCTTATGCAAACCAGTTCTTTATATAAATTTTATAATTTTTACACATTACTTGAAAAAAGAAACACAATCATCATTATAGTCAACAATAATCATCTGCCACATTGAAAACCAAAACACAAAAACATTAATAGTGCAGGAATTCGCTATCCACACAAAGTAGTCTGAAAGGTGATTGATAATGGCTTGTGGTGCAGAGTGTCTTGACTGTCTTCGATAACTCCAACGAGGAAGCTTTTATTATCTTTTGCCACCAGAGTCTGTCCAATTATTCCAGTAACGAGGAAGCTTTTCTCATCTTTTGCTCTTGCAGGTGCTAAATCTACTCCCGGTACAAAGGAGCTCTTGCTCTGCAGATCCCGGGCTACCTGTCTGTAGGCCTGTGCCTGAAAGTCCATCTCCCCGACCTCTGTCAGAAAGTCCCCGTGGAAGTCCACCTCGCAGGCCTCCGTAGGCTCTGGGAGAAAATCGGGGTAGAAATCCACCTCGCAGGCCTCTATAGGCTCTGGGAGAAAATGCAGGTTGAAGTCCACCTCGCAGGCCTCTGTAGACTCTGTCAGAAAGTCGCCGTGGAAGTCCACCTCGCGTGCCTCTGCCAGAAAGTGTTTGAAGTCCACCTCGTAGGCCCGAGGCTCTGTCAAAAAGTCCATCTCGCAGACCGCTGTCTGAAAGTCCACCTCGCAGGCCTGATCTCCCCCTGTCTCAGCTATTGATTTAGCACAGTAGAAGGAGCAGTGGCAAGTATGAGTAGTTTCTGAGCTAAAGCAGGCGGGTAGCCGCCTGTCCATACGACAGCTATAATCGAACTTGGACCAGCAAACTAGTACTCCTAAGCCCTTCAGGCAACTGCTGGTAAGCCTTTATCTCAGAGCAATATCTGTTCAGATGCTGGATCTTCTATCCATTCTAGGAGCTTAGGCTTCTCAAGCATCCTCACTGGCTCACTGCGCATTTCCCCAGTGCTTTATATGGCCTAGTGCAGCGGATGTGGTGCACAGGATATAGTCAGTATATCTATGGTTTATTATTTGAGTTGCCACAGGAACCGAAAGTAAATCAATGTTTGCATCACAAAACGTCATTCCTAGCCACACCCAAAAATGGTGGCAGAATGCAAGCAAACTCTTTCATTGAGCGCTTCTTCACCTCTAAGACCTTTTATTGTCAGTTTTATCCTTGCTTTGGATACTACTATCTTTAATTATCACTGGCAAGACCTTTTTTCTGTTATAAAGCTCACTAAGACCTCAGATACGGAAGATAGCAACCTAGTTATGATGAAGAATAACGGCGATGGAGAAGGCTTTAGACAGGTACAGCAGATGTTTCCCAGTAGTATAGACTGCTAGTTGAATACCTGCTTCTTTAGAGGACCTTATCTGTCTGCTTTTATTTTATAAAATAAAAAACACGAATTGTCTTATAATAATAATAATGAGATGCAAATGATATTCACGAGTGTGATGTAGCGTGAACGTAATGATTCATCATGGCGGCTCCCTTTGAACTAGAGCGGAAGAACCCATTCAGAACCTTCCAGAGTACCTAGAAACTCAAAAATTGGTACCGATTTTCGGAAGAACCCGTTATGCAACTATACCAAGTTTCAGGTTGCTAGCATCAGTAATAAAAAAGTTATAAGGGGTGGTGCTTGGGCAACTCAACTGAAACTGAAATAGACTAACGTAACCGGGATTGGTTACGGACCGGAAGTCAATTATCAGACTCTGTTATTATTCATTAAATTAATGGCAGCAATCAATGGCATCTTAGCAAAATGGCTGAATGTAAATTGTTATAACTAAAAAACCAGCGACAAAGAAAATTCAAAAACAACTTTAAACAATGTAAAAACATGTAAAGAGTCTCTTTATTGTAGTTTCATAGCAATAGAATGTAGTCTATTCCGCTGAGAGGTAAGCAAAAGTCGTACCATGGCAAACTGGTTTTTCTTGAATATTTCCTGAAGAACACTCTGGAGAAACAAGGGAAGTTGCCTAAACAATGTAATAAATTAAGTAACAACATTTCATGACAAAAACACATTCATTGAAACAAATATTTGGGCTACAGAGGTACGCAAATGGAATTTTAGCCGTAAATTGAAGATTTAAACAATTTAAAACAAATATTAACTTACAATAGCCTATCAGAACCTTGAAGCCGCCATTATAACTTTGCAGTAGATTTTTCATAAAGCTAAATACATTTTTAAAAGAGAAAAGAGCAACTTCATACTCCAGACATTGACAGCCGCCATCTTAAAAATCATAACAGAGACTGCAAAAAGTTTTTATACACAAATGATGCGCTCACGTGATCCCGTTGCCAATCCCGGTTATGTTAGTCTATTATATCCCTGACAGTGCAGGTGCATTTAGTTGGCCACACCCTGTGTTGAGAATTTTTCTTGTGACAGAGTAGCCAGCCTAATTAGGCCCATAGGTAATAAATCAAATGCATTTCTGTTTCTGCATAGACATACGTATATCTATGGTTTCTACTAGCAATAGTAAAATAATACCTAAAGGTAATAAAAGTACCTGTAGGTATTATTTACTCTTGCTACTAGGTAGGCAGTGTAATGGTCATACTGTTACCTATTAGAAACAGAAATTGATGAATGTATTGTTCCTTAGTTGTTCTTTTCATTACCTATAGGTAGAGGCATCAGATCATGCTCGTCTTAAGATTGCTGTATCAATGAACAATGAATTCAGAGTAAGGACACACATGGACTATAATATCATTCTCCTCCTCTTAAGGTTGAGAGAGGTAACCCAGAGAGTGAGGCTATGCTGTTCAGTGTTCCAGACTTTATTGGGTTTGCTTGCAGAGAAGTTGGTAAGTCAGCCTAGTATTGTGTATAGTAGTTGTTTGTTATGTATATGTGCATGGACAAGTTAATACAGCAATACTAGTGAAACTTGTAAAAGTGACAAAATAGGAAATCAAGGAAACCTTTAAATCATTGCAATAATCAAATTATTAATTTAATAAAGCCTCCTTTGAATACTCTTGCTTTCATCAATTTATTTGTATTTTTTAATTAAATGCTTTTTGTATGTCATCAAGTTATATGTTTCCCTCTTATCTTTCACAGCTAGTAAAGTGAGAGGGAAGGTTGCCTCTATACCATTTGAACAGTTCCACAAACATTCGGCCGATATTATAACAGCTGCTGTGTTTGGTAAGAATGCTGATGGGGAAGTTAATAAAGAAGTGATATTTACTGCCAACAACCTGGTGAGTTGGTGTAGTCATTAATGCGAACATCATATTTATGCCAACAAGGGACATAAGCAAATTATATCCCTTGGGAGGCGCATAGCTGCTTTCAAATATTATCTATAACGATGCCTGTACTATTGTAATGATATTCATTGCCATGTTTGTTGCAATGAATGAATATCATTCATTGTGTATAATGTGGTAGAGAGAGGCTGACCTATTGGCTTTGGGGACCAGTCATAGCAAGGATAAGCTTTACTCATTACCCTAAACCCTTTATCAACTTGTGTATAGTGGCTTATTTTTATCAGTGTATATAATTGTATTGTGTAGGTGATCACTAATATTTATATTCAAAGTATTGAACCAATCGATCATCATATGAGGGACTCTCTATCTAAATCTGTTCAAATGGCAATTGAGATATCTACCAAGTGAGTCCATGTCTGCCTTATGTGTCTTAAGTGAGACAGATATCTGTGGAAGACAGATACCGTCTCACAGTTCCACTGTGGAATGTCCTTGTTTGTATTATTACACTTATGACTGTATGTTGATGATTTGATTAATAGAGTAAAATCAGCAAGTCGGCCAAGTTATAGATACTAACTATGCTCACAGTTTACATATACCCTACCTTAAGTTACTATTTAAAAACACTATCATACAGTCTTGCTATACACATGTATGTGTAGGTCAATAGAGAGGTCAGCACAGCATGAGGCACAGAGAACTGAACAAAAAGCAAAAGGAGAACTAGAGAGACAAAAACTACAAAATGAAAAGGTAATTATTATGAACATCGCAAAGAATAATGAAAGATATTGTACATGCAGGGGCGTATCTAGAAAGTTAAAAAGGGGGTGGTGAGGGCATGCGTAGTGCACTGCGATTTTGGTCATACCCCTTTTTATCACGGTAAAATGGCGTTTTCCTTCATTTTTGAAAATTACGGGTGGGGTCAAGATAATTTCAGTCATACTGGTACTTCTGACGACTTCTGATTGCTCCTTAAAGCACTGGAAACTGCTGAAATCATGATAAGGGGGCTAGATAACTTTGTTAAGAGGCTTGGTAGTGATGCAAGAGTCCAGGATTTGAGTAATTTTTTCTGAGCCCAGCCATGAGGGGGGTGCTCAAGCCCCCTCAGCCCCCCCCCTTGGATACGCTAGTATACATGTACCACTTTTATTCCCATTAGAATTCTAATGGGAATAAAAGTGGAACTGCATTATCATTTTCATAGTATTTGTTTGCATGTAGGATCTCCTTACATCCTCTTTTTGAGTTTATAATGTTTTAAATTGATTATAAACAAACAGAGCATGGTATAATCATTATTATTGATAGGAGGCAGAGGAGGCAAGGAAGGAGTTGTTAGAGTTACAAGCAGTAGCAGCTGCTGTTGAGAGCTCTGGACAGGCTAAAGCAGAAGCACAAGTAATAAGATAATAAAATGTATAGTGTATAGATTATACACAATTTAACTGTACATGTACAGTGTATGCAATGTTGAGATTGTATGATACAGTATGTAATAGTTGGTACTTGGTAGTATAATTATTTCATTATCTATTGTAGGCTCAAGCTGAGAGACTTCTCATTGAAGGACAGAGTGCTATTGAATGTGAGTAACTATATATAGTGTTGTAGTTATGGGCAATCATGCAAAATCAACATAACTACATTCCAATTGGTGGAAAGTGTCCATCAGACATTCCAATTGTGTTGCCTTGGGCACCTGTTGTATAATCATTTCACACTCACACACCACTCACACATCATGTAAATGTTATGTTTGTATGTTTTAACTGTTTTCTTTTTGTAGTGGCTAAATTAAAAGCAGAAGCAACAAGAATTGAAATGGAAGCTGAACTTACTTGTCAAACTAAAGTTAGTCATTCACTTGTCATTCCTCTATTATCCTTCCTCTCCACTCTCTCTCTCTCTCTCTCTCTCTTCACACACACACCTTCTTTCATGTGTGTCCCCTCTCTATTCCTTCTCTTATGTGTTCCCTTTCTATTCTCTGATCAGATGCAAGAGGCTGAGGTTCAGTTCTTGAGAGAACAGAATGAACTGCAAATAAAGAGAGCTAAAGATCTCAGCAAAATTGAAGTATATAATTATCATTTTGTACTGTTGTTATTGCTTTCAATTTGAAATCATTTATAAGTCTTACTGTATTATCATGATAATTTATGTCAATCTATTGTAATAGGTGTCTTATACCCTGTTCACACTACCCTTCAGAACTGTACTGGAATTCGGTTTTGGGGAAGAATAGTGTAGTTTTATAACAAGTGTGAACATAACTGAACTGCACTGTAACCAAACCAAACCAGGCTAAAGTGGTGCACCAAAATAGGTGCTCTGAAATGGTGTAGTTAAGTTGTGAAGTTAAGTTGGTGTAGTTAAGTTGTGCAGTGTGAACTGCTACCAACATGGTTCTTTATAACCAAACTAATCTAATTAGGTACAGTTCTGTAGGTAGTGTGAACACAGTATAAGTTTAGTACATTGGTTAGTTCTATGGGTAAGCAGACTATATCCCGTATTGCTAAAGCTGGACCAGAATCAAAGGTACACAAGTATATAGTAATACAGTGTTTGTTCACGTTGATTTGTGTTAGTTTATTTATAACGATTCTTCTCTCCTCCTCCTCCTCTTCCACTCCTCTAGGCTCATTTGTTACAGAGTTTAGGTATACAGTCTGTTCTCATTACTGATGGTAAAACTCCAATTAATATGATTGGGAACCAGACAGGTGGCTATACTACTACTTATGCTCCTTAGAAAACTCTTTGAGGAGAAATTTATTATTATTATTATATTATATATTATTTGTGTTAGTCATTAGTTGTTTTTAGCTGGATTTATATAGTTTTCAGAGATATTATTTTCTATTGAACACGAAAATGGGCGGGACTATAACAAAAATTTGAAAAATGCACTACACAAAAAAGTTTAAAATTACCATAGCCGCTTTAAATTTGAATGACAGCATTAAAAAAAAAAAATATATATATATATATATATATGAGGTTGTAAAAGTGAAATAGGAAAATTCGATAATTCAAATAACAGGACCCAGGAGTTCAATAACTTCAATTCTAATCCCCGACAACAACATTTTCGGGGACGGCATTTCTTGGGACAACTAGACCGCCAAGATGATTAGAAGGCACCTCGCCAAACACGGGAAATTTTCCTGTAACAAGAGCGCTTCTTAAATCCTTGTATTCGGTGCATTGTAGATCGAGGCTTATTTGCCAGATTTCCTTCTTTATGGGATTGATCGCTCCACAATTGTAATCCATTTCTCGGAAAAGAAGTGTAGTATCTGTGGCAAGTCTTGACAGAGATAGCTAGAGTCCAAAAAAGCTGCTCCCTTTTTGTTTGGTGCAATTTGTCACCGCCTTTTTATATAGACTAGGGTAAATCATTTTCCCTTCAAAAGGCCTGTATCTGGCTTGCTTTCTCCTACAATTCTCCATTTCATGCAAATTCGTGGCGCCTTTTTTATGCGCATGCGTAAACCAATTATAAAAAGTTATTATATCTAAATAGTTTACCACACCCATTTACCATTATCATTATGTCGGAAGGTGATACTCAGAAAACTAAGAGAAAGGAACAGCAAAGAGACTAGCTGCTTCAAAGAGCTCATACTATCACGTAAGACACAAGTAATACCAACAGCAAATACACTCGTTCTATCCCTCTATCACCAGACGGGCGGCTGTTTGATCAAGTGGAGAACCTAAAGAAGGACATCACTAGACTGGAGTACCAGAACAATGAACTGGAGAGGGTGAGCCTACACTAATAACTCACTCATTAGTGATTATTGATAGGATCTAAGAGAAGGAGGGGGCAGTACAGGAGGAGGGGCTAATAAATTGAACAAACGAGTTGAGGATCTTCAGGAGAGACTCTTAACGAGGACTGATGAGGTCTCTGAGGCTCGTCGGGCAACAGCTGATGTGAGTGGAGGGTATACTATATGTATATAGGGCATTCTAATGTACAGTGCTATTTTGTGATGGTTGTAATGTGTATGTACATGTACATGTATTATTACTGTGAGTGAGGTAGTACTACTGTACAAGATGATTTATTGGTGAGGAATAAATATTGGTGATTGGCAATTTTATGAAGAAATCACCAATATAAAATCTGCCAATTTTTTTTCCACGGGCAATTTTGCCAAATATTACTCCCACTAATAAATCATCTTGTATGGTTTGAGGGTTGTACATGTACAGTAGATATTGTATTGTACAGGCAATGGTTAAAGTTACTGAACTGTCAAGTCAGGTACGATCCAAAGATGATGAAATATCAAAGAAAGAGACACAGTGAGTTAAAGAAAATTCAGTGAAAGTTATTATTAATTATTGTTAAATGGCATGCATTTACTTTTAAAATATTTATTATTACTGCTACTTTATGCAGGAACATTATCTAAGCCTTTAATTATATTACTATCCATTGACCCTCCCTCTGTTATATTAGGGAATTCCCCTCATTACCCTGTGTATAGACACAACTGTAATTAGCTGCATAACATGTTAAGCCCACCATCCACTATTCAACTTTGTGGTTACTTTGATCTTATGGCAACACTGTTGCCTGAAATAGAAGTCAGTTCTATTTCAGGCAACAGTGTTGACAGCACATCAAAGTAACCACAAAGTTGAATAGTGGATGGTGGGCTTAAATGTTCTCATTATAGTCTAATGCTTGCTCCTTAAATATAAATGTTAATGTTCTTGTCATTTACTTTAGGATCCTTTCCCATTATTTCCTGGAGAGAGACTACCTGAGAGTGGCAGTGCAACTGGTAGGTTGTAATTCTCCTTCTCCCCCCTCTCTCTCCCCCTTTCTCTCCCATTGTTCATTTCCCTAATTCATTTATTCCATTGCAATGTATCATTCATTATTAATGTGATTATTAACTGCAAGGAGACTAATGGCTATAGCCTACAGCAGGTCCATAGTTCACACTACATCTATGTTTATCTAACAGTGTTTGGTTGTGTTTAGTTCATAAACAATCTACTTGATATCATGAAAATATCTTGTCTGCAATCACTAGAATTTATATCAACATTCTATTATATATAGCATGGAACACAAAATAGTATTTCACTCTGTTCACTCCTCTCCTCTCCTTTCTCTCTCTCTCTCCATTAGATTATTCTTGTGCTATTAAGCGTCTTCCAACCATAAAAGCAGATCATGGGATTCACTTGAGTGCTCTGGTTGATATGGAGGAGACTGATACTGCTCCAGCTCGTAAGGCAGGAGATGAGTGGCAGCTGAGAGGACCATTGACCTACTTACCCAAATCAGAAGAGGTCAGCGTTTAACAGTAATACAACTACTATCTGATAGTTACATGTATAGTGTATATGCACCTTGGCACAGTATTCTTTAGTGTCCCTATATTCAGTGGCCCATATATTCATTCTTAGTTACACATGTTTCTATTTATTCAATTAGGAGGTGATGCTGTTTACATAATAGCATCATTATAAATTAGTATTACAAATTAGACACAATTACATCCATACTTGAATCGTCCATACCTGAGCTTGCATGTAATGATACACAATGAGTGTATTCAACTATTACTTTGGCTCATGGGAACGTGAATAAAAGTAAAAAGGTGGCGCACTCATGAATGTAAAAATGTGTATCAATGCCATTTTTATGCAAGGGTAAGAAACATAATATTTAGGTATATGGTATGACTTTTAATGATGTCAGGGATGTGTTTATCTAAATTGTGACTTTGTTAGCTTTTGAAAACATGATGTGGTTATTTTGTGAATGGCATTGTGTTTCCTCTCTCTTCCCTTCCTCCTCCACCTGTAGCAAGTAGTAAAGATGGTGTCTCCTATTATAATAACTCCTGGTCATGCTGTTCGTCTCAGAGCTCGTCAAGCCTTCACTGACGCTAAGGGAATGTAAGAATAACCACACCAACTGGTTAATTAATAATTATTAATAGTTATCGTTGCACTGGTGAGGAGTGGCTGGTGAGGGATATTGGAGCTTATCTACCTGATGTGTATGAGGAGGTAAGACTTACAATGTACATGTACAGTGTATTGTATAAGATATAATACAGACAGTATGTGTATGTTGATTGTTGCTTAATTGAATAATGTGAAGTGTGTATTATGTTTGATGATTATCATAATCATTGGACTGCATATCTTTGGTCATAGACAATCTCCTGGCAACTAGACAAGCAATACTCATGAAACAATATACCTTTTATAGTACATGTTTATCATAACAGCTAATGATTAGGCCACTTTCCTTCAGTTCAATCTCAACAAAGAGTAATCAATAACCACCATCAGTCACTATATCAATAACTTAACAAAAATTAAAAACTGATCCTACCATCAGCTGTATTAAAATTGATCCCAATGCCCCAGCAGTCTTACCACCATTTGATTCAAACCCAGCCTCTTACTCAGAAGTAAAACTTGAATTAACAGCCTCTCCCCCTATCTCCCTATAGGTAGTAGAAGAGGTTGATGCTTACACTCTAACACCAAACAATGCTTTACACATCAGAGCCAACTGTAACTTCACTGATCAGTTTGGTAGGGGGAGAAGGATTGGAGAGGAGTGGCTGGTTAAATATGATGACACTGAATCATACATACCTGATGTCACTGAGGTAAGGAAACACTTTATATATTATAACTATACACAACATTATTGCCTGCTCATTTCATAAGTCATAACAACTTCTTGTCACAAGTAACAAGGTGTATCAAGAATGTATTTAGAGTATAGCATGTTTTTTGCATACTCTAGCCTTGTATGGCTCCTTCTTCTCACTCCTACTCCCCCTCTATATATCCTACAGGAGGTTGTTAATGAGGTCCAGTTGACTGTTTTATCTCACCATCAGTATTGTGTGGTTGTTAATCCTCTTGGTGATGATGGTAGACCACGTCTTGGCTGTAGGGAACTGAGAAAAGGACCCAAGACATTCTTCCTTCACCCTGATAACTGATTAATATTAATTAAGTATTGATTTTATTATGATGATTTTGCAATTGTCATGTACACGTACATACATGGTTAATGTGGAAAGGTACATGTATTTGATATGTTATGTATATGCATACCCTTTGTTTAAATAATGTACAAATGTCTGAGTGTGTATGTGTATTTTGTTTTTTTTTGTTTGTGTACTTTTTACCCTTGATGTCATGTATGTGTATTCTTTTCTTTGTTTCCATTTGCAGGTGAGAAGTTTGAGAGAGGGATACAAGATGCTATTATATTAGAATCTGATGAAGCTCTTCTTGTCACTGCTCAAGAGGAGTTTGATGATGATACTGAAGATGGTAAGTAATGGTGACTTTATTGTGATAGATATATGGGTATTATTAGAGAGAGATTAATTGATTTTGTGACAATGGTAGTGGGGAACAGATTGCTGCCCTCTGAATCAGCATTATTGTTGGAAATTATTGTGGATGGTTAACTGAATTCCTGCATGAGCAAATAGTAGAGAGAGAGAGAAACATAATTAGTTGTTTACAATGCAATATTGGTACTGTATTAGGTAGTAAAGTCCATCGTACTCCTGGTGACAGGTGGATGATTCATGGACCAACTGACTATATACCTAGAACTGAGATTGGAAACATACAGAGGAGGTTAATATTCATGTACAGTTCATAAAATCAATTTAATGTCAATTTAACATACTGTTAATTATCTGTTGTGTCAGTGGTTGTGTGCAGCTGAAATATGTTATAGTATGTAGTAAGTGTTGGCTGGCATCCAGCTACCAGTTAGCATAGAGGCAAGGATAGCTAATAATTATTGTAAGTGTAGTACTGCTCAGCTATAACTTTACTTTTACATGCGTGACCTCCAGCACTACCTGTGTTTGCTACTAGTGCAATAACTACACTGGTGAACCACAAATAAAGTTATAGCTGAGCGGTACTGTGTAGATAAAATTGTCTCAGAAACAACCATTGCAGGATTTGCAGCTCACCAGTTAGCATAGAGGCTTGTGAGAGTATGTATAGATTATAGCTATTGTTGACTTGTCTCAGACATGCACCCAGTTAGCATAGAGGCTTGAGGGTCAGCCTTTAAGTGGATAGCTATTGTTGAATTGTCTCCCCAGGCCAGTGTCTCCCCAGACTTGTGTTAGCCTGGGGGGGGTATTCCAAGCCTGAAGTCTATTGTGACAGGCTGATAGTGTGATGAGGAATACTTTAAATCAGTTTTTATCTCTCTACTCTAGGAAGGCTACTCCATTGAATGAGAATGAAGGGATTTATGTTAGAAATGTTCAGTCAGGACAGGTAAACCAATACAGTACAGTACAGTACAGTGCTATATTAATACTACCACTGGTGATGTGTCCAATACAGTACAGTACAGTACAGTACTATATTAATACTAACACTGGTGGTGTGTCCAATAGGTTCGTGCTATATTGGGCCCTCAGTCTTATTTATTGCAAGCTGCTGAAGAACTGTATGAGAAAGAACTGACTCCATTAGCAGAAGAAATATTAAAGTAATGAACATATTGACTTGTACTTAAGATACAAACCTCTGACAGTAGTATTGATAGTATTGTGTATACAATGGCCAACCACCTACATATAACTTATATGTATTCTAAGCAGGCAGGAGCTCCTGATAGCACTCACATATTCTGATTTTTTGTAGGGAGGGTGGTGGTGTTGGTGATGCTAGTATTAGGAAGATAGCATATTTTGATGGAGCTAAAGACCCTTCGCTCTTTAAGGGAAATGTAAGAATTATGTATCTGCCATTATGTAATGATAAAGTAGAGACTACACTATACAGGCACCTACACAGACAAAGACACACACACCACATGAGTATGCTGATAATAACAGAATCTTCAGTCTATGTTCTCTTTTCCCTCTCTTCTTGCCCTCCTCTTTCTTTATAGAAACGTGACAAGACTCGTGTAGTTACTTACAGGTGCCCCAGTAACTGTGCAGTTCAAGTGAGTATATTAATGTCCTTATCACAACTGTGAACTATCATCCTGTTTATACTAGGTGTACAATTATATAGAGAAGACAGCTCGTGTTTTATTTGGTCCTGATCTTGTAGTGCTGGATCCACATGAGAACTTTAATGTCCTCAGCTTGAGTGGTGAGGGAGAGAGGGGGAGACAACTAGGGGAGGGTGTCAATTTATTGTTATTTTCAGCTGGTAAACCAAAGAAGGAGAATGCCCTGAAGACTATTTGCCTCATGCTTGGTCCTGACTTTATATCTGACCATATTACAGTAAGTGCTCCCTTACAGCATTACAATGCTGGCCTCTTGTTAATTTCTCAGTGTAATAAGTGACATCCTTTTCATTCATGTTGCATTTTTCATCATTTTAAGGGTATCATGTATTTGTGCACAAGCATGTTTTGCTCTTATGCAAACCAGTTCTTTATATAAATTTTATAATTTTTACACATTACTTGAAAAAAGGAACACAATCATCATTATACTCAACAATAATACACACAACATAATAGTGCAGGAATTTGCTATCCACACAAAGTAGTCTGAAAGGTGATTGATAATGGCTTGTGGTGCAGAGTGTCTTGACCGTCTTCGATAACTCCAACGAGGAAGCTTTTATTATCTTTTGCCACCAGAGTCTGTCCAATCACTCGGCCAGTAACGAGGAGGCTTTTCTCATCTTTTGCTCTTGCAGGTGCTAAATCTACTCCCGGTACAAAGGAGTTCTTGTTCTGTAGATCCCGGGCTACGTGTCTGTAGGCCTGTGTCTGAAAGTCCATCTCCCCGGCCTCTGTCAGAAAGTCCGGGTGGAAGTCCACCTCGCAGGCCTCCATAGGCTCTGGGAGAAAATCCGGGTGAAAGTCCACCTCGCAGGCCTCTATAGGCTCTGGGAGAAAATCCAGGTTGAAGTCCACCTCGCAGGCCTCTGTAGACTCTGTCAGAAAGTCGGCGTGGAAGTCTACCTCGCGTGCCTCTGCCAGAACTTGAAGTGCTTGAAGTCGACCTCGTAGGCCCGAGGCTCTGTCAAAAAGTCCATCTCGGAGGCCTCCGTAGGCTCTGGGAGAAAATTGGGGTGGAAGTCCACCTCGCAGGCCTCTATAGGCTCTGGGAGAAAATGCAGGTTGAAGTCCACCTCGCAGGCCTCTGTAGAATCTGTCAGAAAGTCGCCGTGGAAGTCCACCTCGCGTGCCTCTGCCAGAAAGTGCTTGAAGTCCACCTCGTAGGCCCGAGGCTCTGTCAAAAAGTCCATCTCGCAGGCCGCTGTCTGAAAGTCCACCTCGCAGGCCTGATCTCCCCCTGTATCAGCTATTGATTTAGCACAGTAGAAGGAGCAGTGGCAAGTATCAGTAGTTTCTGAGCTAAAGCAGGCGGGTAGCCGCCTGTCCATACGACAGCTATAATCGAACTTGGGCAAACTAGTACTCCTAAGCCCTCAGGCAACTGCTGGTAAGTCCTTATCTCAGAGCAGTAGCTGCTCAGATGCTGGATCTTCTATCCATTCTAGGAGCTTGGGCTTCTCAAGCATCCTCACTGGCTCACTGCGCATTTCCCCAGTGCTTTATATAGGGCCTAGTGCAGCGGATGTGGCTGCATAGTTGACCACATCCTGTCTAATCCTGTCTTACTTACAATTTTTCTTGTGACAGAGTAGCCGCCCATAGGTAATAAATCAAATGCATTTCTGTTTCTGCATAGACATATGTATATCTATGGTTTCTACTAGCAATAGTAAAATAATACCTAAAGGTAATAAAAGTACCTCTAGGTATTTTACTCTTGCTACTGGGCAGGCAGTGTAATGGTCATACTGCTGTCTATTAGAAACAGAATTTTATGAATGTATTGTTCCTTAGTTGTCCTCTTCTTTGTATCTATAGGTAGAGACATCAGATCATGCTCGTCTTAAGATTGCTGTATCAATGAACAATGAATTCAGAGTAAGGACACACATGGACTATAATGTCATTCCTCTGTTCCCTCATTTCCTTCTTCTCCTCCTCCCTCTCCTCCTCTTAAGGTTGAGAGAGGTAACCCAGAGAGTGAGGCTATGCTGTTTAGTGTTCCAGACTTCATTGGATTTGCTTGTAGAGAAGTCGGCGGTGAGTCGGCCTAGACTGTATTGTCCTGTATTCATTATGTGTATTATTACCATGCATTTACCGTAAATCCTCAAATAAAAGCCGGGTGCAAATAAACACCGGGTCAGCAATAAAATGGAAGTATAAACACACAAATGTAGCCTATAAATATTATAAATGCCTTGTAGATACTTGGTTCAGCATCCTGACGTCACTTGCTTGAGGTCCCAGGTTCTAATCCCTCTGTTGCCTCACATTTTATTTTCTTTTTTCGAGGTCCAAATGTCATTTTAAGAAATAGACACCCAGGCTTTTATTTGAGGATTTACGGTATACATCTATATGCATACATGTAGTAGTACAACACAGCTCATAAGATTAGCGAAATGAGCAATCTGTTGGTTGACAGGCAAAGTTATTGACCAAGACAACACATTATATAAATTCTTAATTTAATTACTCTTATATCAGTTGTATGTTTCTTTATTTTTCACAGTGAGTAAAGTGAGAGGGAAGGTTGCCTCTATACCATTTGAACAGTTTCACAAGCATTCAGCTGATATTATAACTGCTGCTGTGTTTGGTAAGAATGCTGATGGAGAAGTTAATAAAGAAGTGATATTTACTGCCAACAACCTGGTGAGTTGATGTTGTCACTAATGCAAGCACCATATTTATGCCAATTAGGACATTAGTACATTTCATCACATTATCCATGGTACTGTATAACAATATCAAGAGTGGATAATTTTATTGCCATGTTTGTTGTAACTGGTCATGCATATGTATACATTGGATTGTAGTTTATCTGTAGTAGTGTAATTATAGAATTGCTAGCTCAAATGTGGTAGGGAGAGGCTGGCCTATATTGGCTTTGGGGACTAGTCATAGCAAGGATAAGTTTACTCATTATCCTAGACCCTTTACCAACTTGTGTATGGTGGTTTATCATTATCATTATATAATTGTATTGTGTGTAGGTGATCACTAATATTGATATTCAAAGTATTGAACCAATTGATTATCATATGAGGGACTCTCTATCTAAATCTGTTCAAATGACAATTGAAATATCTACCAAGTGAGTCCACTCTTCATCTACAATTTATATACAGTACATGTATAATGTTATCCACTCTGCCAGCCCTGTTATAGTTTTTTTGAACCTGTCCTTTGTTATGACAAACTTGGGATACAAATGAAACTGTCTCCTGGTTATGATAGTGACTAGCTACTATCATAGTTTGACCACTGCACCTGGCAGGAACTATATAGATTATGCACCTCCCAGTGTGAGTTCAGCTATAAAATCCAATGAGTTATGAGTAATATTGTAATCACTAACTAATAAGTACCATAAATACTCTTGCAATTGGAAGGATTGGCAATCAATCAAAAGCTGACCATGCACAGTGCATTATTGTAACAATTGAGCCTGACTGATAGAACTACATGTACATGTATTTCAGATATTTCATTTGTATCAGTTAGCTATTCCTTCCTAGTTTACTTCTTTCATTATTGTGATGCATTTGCTTGTTATAATGTTACTATGCACAGATCAATAGAGAGGTCAGCACAGCATGAGGCACAGAGAACTGAACAAAAAGCAAAAGGAGAACTAGAGAGACAAAAACTACAAAATGAGAAGGTACAATAATATCAATATGAACATGTAATAAATAATGAGCATACACCATTTTGATTTATTCTCATTAGAATACATGTTTGCTTGTGTTTATAGTATTTGTGTGCAATATGTACTTATTTGGTACTTAATTGTGTTATAATTTCTTTTAGTATCACTGTGTACATGTAGTTGACTATTTGTGTCTATACCTTTCCAATCGATAATGTTTTACTATTTGTGTCTATACCTTTCCAATCGATAATGTTTTATGAAGGGTACCATCTTTGTTATTGATAGGAGGCAGAGGAAGCAAGGAAGGAGTTGTTAGAGTTACAAGCAGTAGCAGCTGCTGTTGAGAGCACTGGACAAGCTAAAGCAGAAGCACAAGTAATAAGATAATAACATTTACTGGGTATAGGTTATGCACAATTACATGTACAGTGTATGCAATGTTGAGATTGTATGATACAGTATGTGATAGTTGTACTTGTAGTATAATTTCTCTATTTCATTTGTCTATTGTAGGCTCAAGCTGAGAGACTTCTCATTGAAGGACAAAGTGCTATTGAATGTAAGTGAGAGTCAGACTTTAGTATAGTACAGTGTTGTGCACAATTGTGGAGATAATGAGGTGCTAACCTCAAAATCAATTCAATAGGCAATATGTGTACCCACTGTCAACCCAGACATTCCAATTGTGTTGCCCTGGGGACCTGTTATTATAATCATGTCACACACACACACATCATGTAAATTGTTATGTTTTGCCTGTTTCCTTCCTTGTCCCTTGTAGTGGCTAAATTAAAGGCAAAAGCAACAAGAATTGAAATGGAGGCTGAACTTACTT